CTCTTTTAGATATACCAAAATTTGATCCAGTTAGATCAGTATTTTTAGATTCCATGCATTTACTCTATCTTGGAATCATGAAATGGATACTACAACAATTGATAGGTGCAAAAAAAAAGGTTAATAGAAAATGCAAACTATCCCGGCGAAACATAAGACGTTTAAACTTAAATTTAAAACTACTTGGAAGATTTGTACCTAAAGAGTTCCAAAGAAAGAAATTTGATTTTGACGAATTTAGTCATTGGAAAGCTACTCAGTTCCGTTTTTTCTTACATTATTGCGGAATACTTGTGTTTCGTAAAATTTTACCTAGACAAATGTATCAACACTTTCTACTATTGGTAGTTGCATGTAGAATACTCTGTAGTCCTGAATTATGTGTTGAGTACACTAATTACGCCAGACAGTTATTGGTAAAATTTTTTGAACTCCTTCAAAATTTTTATGGTTCAGATTCACAAATGATGAACAGTCATAACATAATTCACCTAGCTGATGATGTGGAACAAACAAAAACAAACTTGTGTGCTATTTCTGCTTTTCCATTTGAAAACTGTCTGGGGAAAATAAAAAGATTAATTGTAGGAAGAAACAATCCTTTAGCACAGTTAGTCAGAAGAATGTCCGAACAAAAAGCATGCACTGAACTGATTAAAAAAAATGCTGTACGAAAAAAAAAAAATCTTGTAATTAATTATATACAAGAAAATCAAGATGTATTAAAAAATATAATTTTACGTGGAGTTGAGTTAAGTGCCAAAACTTCCAATAATATTGTAATATTGAATAACGGTGAAATTCTCAGCATTACAGAAATTAGAAAAGAAGAACAAGGTATATTTTTACATGGTTTTATGTTCAAATATGTTACTGATGCCTTCAAATATCCTTGTGAATCAACCAAAGTTGGAATTATGAAATTAGGACGGTTATCAAGACAGAAAAAAATAATTTCCATTGATAATTTTAAAAATAAATGTGTTTTTTTTAAAGATAACCATGATACTTTTGCAGTCACATATCTGCATAGTTCATAAGTTTCATATTATAAATTTGTATTTCCATAATTCTTTGAAATGACTGCAATTTTATTTGTTGTATGAATTTATATTTTATATTTTATCTTTTATATTTAAGCAAAATTAAGTGCTAGTGAATAGTGATATCTGATTTCTGTTTGTTCTAAATTGAAATAGGTACTTAGGGAATTAAATTGTTTTAAATAAATGATGTATTGATAAATAACTTTAAGTTTGATTTAACTTGTTTTTAATAATTTATTTGTTCACTATGTACAATAAAAATATTGTGAATAATAATGGTAAGATTAAGTACCTACTCTTGATTTTAAAACCTTTTTGTTATATTTTAGTTATAAGTTGTAGCCGGCGTAAGAAATGGAACAAGACAAATTTGAAAAGGACACCACTCATGTTATAGTACAGTTCAATGAAAAATCAAAAGATGGGAAAAAAACAATTGATCTTGTGCCCATCTCATGGGTGTATCAAAATGATGAACAATTATTTTGTAAATATCCCACAAAGAAAAAAGAATATAATAATTTAAATGAAATGTGTAAGACATCTGCTGCACATGGTCCATTTTGGAAAAGTTTTGAAATTACTATTATTAAACAGGCTGGTAAGTAATACAATTCACAACTATTAAGTTATATAGGTTTTAAAATAATTGTGACTGATCATCAGTATTCTGTACATCTCTTACATTGTAGTCATAAATATTGTTTCAGGAAATTACAACCAGGGAATTAGACGAATGGAAAAGGCATTTTCGAATAAAGTGGTACAAAGCAGCAATATAGAAGATTATAACAGTTCCGAAGTTGAAGAAGATAACTTAAAATTAGATGCACATGAAGTTAAACAATATTTAAAAAATATTCCATCTTTTAATAAAAATAGTATTTTCGATGATGTAGAGTCAAGTGGTAATTAATTTATTATAATAAATATATATATAATAATATATTAATATTAGATAAACATTAAACATAGCTATAAACCTATATATTAATTTGTTGGTATTTAATTACTGTTTATTCATGTTTAAAGCCGATGAAAATGGTAGTATCCATTCCAATGGCACTATACAACAAAACTTGGCATCCGATCATAGCTGTACTTCATCGGGATCATCAATAGCACACTCTTTTATTAAGAAGAAATCATTAAAAAGATCCAGAAGTAAGTACATAACTTACTTTAACGTACAACTTAAACTGAATTAATCTTTTATGATTTGTGGAAAATGAATATTATTTATATTATATTAATATGGTACATAACAGTGGCCGCTCATAGGCCTTCCTTTTCATTTTCACCTTTTTCAAGAGGTTATGACTTAATTTAACTAAGAATATAACATATTTTACATGATTAGATGATGAATAATCTATATTAAGTTAAATTATGATTCTAGAACATGCTACAAGTTCTAGCAGTTCATCAACCACGTCATCGCCTACATCAAAATTTAAAAAGTTGCCATCAGCAAAAACTAAAATTATTAAATTACCAAATAAAAAGATACAGTCTCCCACAAATTTAATGATTGATGCACTTCAAGGAAGCAACAATAAAAAAGGTACATACATCTTGTGTATTAACATAGATTTTGAGTTGGCGCGTTTCTAAATTAATCTAGGTACCACTAAACTGATTTTTTTTTTTAATTTAAATTTAAAATGTTATTAAAATGTTAAAAATATTTAACTATTTATTGTTTTTAGCTCAAACTTCTTCAAACATCAAGAAGATGAATCCATGCAGAACGTGTGGTTGTACATGCTCTACAGGTATATTTTTAGTTAAATTCCTAAGTTATTCTCAATAAATAATATTACTGAGTATTCTGAATCGAAACAGTTAACAGTTAATTTCAACTAAAAAGTTATCCTAACATTTTCCTAAAAATACTATATACAATTAACTGATTAACACAGTTAATGTTTAATTATAAAGTAGTTAAATAGATGTATAGTTTAATAGATGTTAGAATCATTATGTACTAGGTTACCTTTAGTTACATACTTTATTAGTATACTTTTTAGTGATTATATAAAAAAAAATGATTTGATTATGTTAATTACCGATTTCACATAGGTACCTAAGTTTTTGTTTGTTATACTTATAGGTTCTTCATCTTCAGAAACAGTTACTAAAGCTCAATTAGAATCTATCAGAAGAAGTATAGAGTACAAAATAACACAAGAGGCTAAAATAACGAGACACTTATTTGCATCACACAATAATGCAAGATGAACAGTTAAATAACATGCCCAAATTGAATTTGGAAGATTTTCAGGATTTTGATACTCTGTTGAAAACTGATCTTGAGCTAATAAAAAAACTGGTAAAATTGCTTCTGAAACTACAGTTTTATTTTATTGATAAATCTTTTAATTTTTTTTTAGAAATGTTTTATGTTGATAAACATTAAAAGCGGAATTAAAGTGACAGAGAACTTAACTGTAGTTATGCCGCGTATAATATCAAAAGATGTTCAACTCTTGTACAGTGGTTTTGGGAGAGAGACCAATGGTTGTAAAAAGCTGAATTTTTCAGCAACACAGACATACAAACACTTAATAGGTATTTAATATTATTAATATTGTTTTATAAAAATATATTTTTTCTTTTATTTATTTTTGTATTTCAGAAGTCATAACTACAAAAGATCCGGGTCTAAAAATGAAGGATATATCAAGTCAATTAAGCCGATGGTTTTCAGGTGCCAAGGACCGTGAAGGTGGGAAAAAAGAAAGGCAATATTATAAAATGAAGAAATCCAGCGAAGTCGAAGAAAATAAAAATGAATAGAATATTGATTTTATATAAATAAGTTTTGTCATTAAATTGTACATTAAAGATTAATGTTCTCAGAAATATAGTAGAGTTTGATAACTAAGGGTATATTATTTTTTAAGCTATATGCATAAACATGCCGAGGTTATAATTTACTGTGAATTAATAGATTGTACATCCTATTAATTTGACTATTGTTTAGCATCTATAATCAGCTAGTTCAAACACTTATAATAGCCTCAAAATTAGGAAATTTAATTTAGGGAATACTAGAAATTGTATAATTATAGTATCTATATTATATAGAGTAATTTTATGAGAAAAATCATAGGTATTAGGTACCATCATGCTACCATTAGACAAATACAGAATACTATTGAGCCTGTAACATTAGTTGCTACTGTACCAGTTATGTAACTGGTACTGCACCACAGTTGCTAATCTGTACTTGGTCGGTAGTGGTCCAGCACTGAAAGTCGGTACAGAATACCGTTCGCATCCCAGACATATACCAGTACTGGTGCCAACACTGGTTGTCGGTAGTATGCCAGCATTAGCCAGTACTGGCGCAATGCTGCGCCTGTTGCTGGTCAGTACTATTCCGGTACTAAATGTCTGTACTGGTCCAGCACTGAAAGTCAGTACAGACTTTCAGTACTGAATACCGTTATCATCCCAGACATATGCCAGTACTGGTGCCAACACTGGCTGCCAGTAGTGGGCCAGCATAAGCCAGTACTGGCGCAATGCTGCGCCTGTTGTGGATTTCCGATTGGGCTAAAACGAATTTGCGGTTTATCATTTTTACCAAAAAAAAAAATATAGTTCGTGAAGAAATAGTTATCATATGACTCATATGTCATGAGTGATTAGTATCCAATAGCTTAAATATTTGAACTTCAATGTTTATAAAAACTAATTTGACTCTCAGGTAGAAATATTTTTGTTTTTAAATAGATTGAAAATTTATAAAAAAAATCTTAATCTAAATTTTTAAATCTTAAGTATGAATAACAAAAATTATATGCATTTTTAACTAAAAAATAATATAGAACAAGACACTAAAAACTCACATCATTGTACAATTTAAATTTAAAATTAGGTAACTTCTATAATCCTATTATATCGTAAAGTTAATTTAATATATTATACAATTAAATACAAATTTACCGATTAATTTATTGAATTTAAGACCATGTATTTCTACGCTTCGTTTGAACCCTTCAGCTATTGCATCAGCTTCCATACTAGTTGCTCCTTTAGTCCAATTTAAAAAACACTTATGGTCAGGTACAGTTGTCTTTTTATTAGCAGCTCTTTGACATAATACGCAATAGCNAAAGATCACGACACCAGCGTCTTTTAAGACGTCGAGGGGGATTGTCTGGAAGTGTACGTGATGATAAGTGGGAGATAAGAGGATTTTGGTGTAGATGTAATTTTTTGTGAAATTTAGAGTAGTGTTGTTTAATTAGTTGTTCAACGGTTTGTATTTTTAAGTCCTTGTGAAGTGTGATATTAGTTACGTACCATGGGGCAGATGTTATGAGACGGAGGGATATGGACTGGAATGCTTGGATGGTTTGTAGTTGGGACGGTTTGGCACTACCCCAAATTTGAGACCCGTAGGTCCATATGGGTCTTAAAAAAGATTTGTATATTGTTAATTTTGAATTTATAGAGAGTTTTGATTTAAAGGCATACACAACCCCGAAAAAAAAATAAAATTTTATCATCGATTTTGATATTTCACACTGTGAAAAAAAATACTGTGAAAACAGAATTTGAAAAAATAAATTATTTATAGAGTTACGGGTGAACTACGAATACACTGTGACGTCATTGCGTCGGCCGTTCCTGAGCGGCACTGACGCGCGGCGGCAAACGCGTAACAATAATAATATCGTTGATCGCCGATTAAATATACATTTTCATTTCTATAAATATTTTGATTATTTATAAATTATAATTTATAAATATAACATTTATCCAATTTTTAAATACTTAATACTAATATTGTGTTTCAATAACAAATTCGTCAGTATTCACTTCTCGTCTAGTCGGATCGTATATTATTATCCCTGTTCCTTGTTTCATCAGTATTCAGTATAATAATGTAATATATTCATTACTCGTGTGTACAATATTATATCATATAGATTTTACTTTAAAATTATATACAGTTTTGAGTTTACATTACATTTTAATTACGAAGAAAATAATGCCGTATTGTAGTGTATTTGGTTGTAGCAATAATAAAGGAACGCATATATTTCCTAATCGTGATAATTCACCAGTGCGTTTTAATAAATGGACCAATTTTTGTAAGCGCAAACATTTTAAACCAACCAATAATTCTGTAATATGTTCCCGTCATTTCACAAGTCTAGATTTTGATGACTCAGATATTCTAAAACAAAAATTATTAGGGGACAAATACAAGTTAAGAGCGCCCCGTTTAAAATCAGGTACTGTACCAACAATATTTGTATTAAATAATGATAAAAATAGCGAGGGTAATACAATAACTAAAAAATCTCGGTCTGAAAGAATAAAAAAACAAGAAAAAAAAGAAATGGTTGAGAGTTTAATTGCTAATAAATCAAATATTGATTCAAATGAACATTATGAACATAATGAAAATGAGGAAGAGCTAAGTTTTACGGAGGATAATATAAGTGAACAAGAAGAAAACGTATCATTTACAGATGATTTTTATGACGATCCCGATTATGAGTGTGAAAAAGAAGAGGAAAACTGTATAGAAGAATTTGAAAATGTTGAAAATGCCGATGTAAAATATTGTCTAGTATTTATCGATTCATTACTAACACTGTTTACGATTTGTAATATTTGCAAAAGTAAAATAATAAATAAAAAATGGTACGCAATTGGTGCAACAATATGTGTAAAATCAGAATGTAGCGAAGGTCACTTATCAAAATGGTTTTCACAGCCCGTTAATAAACAGTTTTCTAAAGGTCATGTACATATTGCTACATCTATACTTTTATCAGGTACTTTATTTGCTACATTTAAAGTATTTTGTTCAAGCTTAAAACTTTTAATGTTTAGTAGAACAACATACGATAAAATTATGAATAAATATTCTTACCCTCTTATCGAAAAAATATGGGAGAAAAAGAGAACAGAACAGATAAATAATGTCAAGGAAAGTGGACAGTTATGGATTGCTGGAGATGGTCAGTACGATTCACCTGGGTTTTGTGCCAAATATTGCACTTACACTTTTATGGACATTAATTCTGGATGTATAGTAGATTTTCAATTAATTCAAAAAAAAATGATGTCGGGAGATTTAGAAAAAAATGCTTGTAAACAATTAATTGATAAATTGATAGATATCGATAAATGCAAAATTGATTTATTATTAACCGACCGTCATGTAGTAATAAGGCATTTGTTAAAAACATGTTACCCAGAAATCACTCACGAATTTGATTTATGGCATTTATCTAAAAGCTTAATGAAAAAATTTAAAACAATTAATAAAAAATACGAAGAAGTTTTGGCATGGAAACAATCCATAAGTAATCATTTATGGTGGTCGGCACAAACATGCAATGGGGATTCTGAAGTATTAGTCACAAAATTTACATCTATATTGAAACATATTAAAAACGTTCACGAATGGGAAGAGGATGGATTAAAAAAAATGTGTGAACATCCACCGTTAAGTGATGAGTACAAAAAACAAAAACTATGGTTACTTCCAAATTCTAAACCTTATGAATTAATGAAAGAAATAATTTGCAACAAAAAGTTTTTGACAGATTTAAAGCAAACAAAAAATTATGTTCATACAGGAAGATTAGAATCTTACCATAACTTAAGATTAAAATATGTTCCAAAACGTGTTCATTTTTCTTTTAAAGCGATGTACATAAAATCAATTATTGCTATAATTGACCATAATTCTAATTTAAATAAGAAAAAAATTGGTTTAAATTATTTGTTTTCTAAACCTACTGGAAAATGGGTAACTAAAAATGCGTATGAAAAAAGTACAAATAATTGGAGAGATGAAATAATTAATTCAATACTGGATCATTTAAACGGAGTCGAAATGTTACCATTGAAAACAACACTTGATGTAACTCTGCCTAAAAACATCGCACCTATTGATCGACCTGCATTGGAAATAATGCAAAATTCTCATCATTCACGTTTTCTAAAATATTAATTGAATATATTTTTAATGTATACTAAATAACGATTTTGTGTATTTAAATTGTGTTATACTAACAAACTACTTATACATAATAAATTTATTATATAATAATTCATAAATTACAATATTGTAAAGATAAAAAAAATTTAAAAATTATTACACTTGTTTAAAATAATTATATTTTTGTTATGCGTATAATTTTTATAGACGAATTCATAATATTTTTTGTAATACAACTTAATTAAGCAGGTAATTTTTTTGAATTTTTGAATCCTACGTATATTCCGTTTTGTTCTGGATATTCTTCCCTTATTTTTCTAACAACACATGAAGGCAAAACCACTCGATTTCCTTTTCCCATAGCAATCCAAGAATTGACCCAAGATGTATACTGTTTATAACAAATGAATCTCCACGTTTTGTTTTCTGGATAATGTTGACCCAATTTTTTTTTATTAATATTGTTTTTAGTTTTTAATATTAAATTGTGTCTAGTCATGTTTAGTATTTCCTTATCCAATATTAGTTTTGAAAACGATTGATGTAAAGTAATACATTTGCCTTCTTGTTCTCGTATTTTTTCTAAATTTGGTAACTCATTGCAGCATAAACACTCGATATCACTTTGCATACATACACAGTATCCACAAGAACACCAATTGGAGGAATTGTTTGATCGACCTTCATAATTAACAGCCACAGAATTGTCATAATCTTCTTGTAAATAACGGTCTATACCTTCCGCATCAGGATCAAAATTGAATGGTATTAGGGACATTATTATAATTTATAAAGTAGTGAGTTTTGTAATGTAAATTTATTATTATTAAATTTCACTTGGTACTATATATGAAATTAAATCACAATAAATAAAAATGAAATTAACCACTGCAACAAAATAACGACAGTCTATGATAAACATATCGACGATAGTAATAAACTAATGAATAATAATAATAATGATATTGTTATGCGTTTGCCGCCGCGCGACAGTGCCGCTCATGAACGGCCGACGCAATGACGTCACAGTTTATTCGTAGTTCACCCGTAACTCTATAAATAATTTATTTTTTCAAATTCTGTTTTCACAGTATTTTTTTTCACAGTGTGAAATATCAAAATCGATGATAAAATTTTATTTTTTTTTCGGGGTTGTGTATGCCTTTAATTAACTAATGAGTCAGTTTATCATCAATTAAAATGAAAACAATTTTCGAAATAACTATAACATAATGTCGTAACGATATGCTGACATATTGTTTACATTATAACAACTAATAAACTAAAATATAACAGATTAATATAATATTATGTCAGCCAGATTGTCGATGCCTAGATATCGCGGCCATTGCATTATAATATTTGTATGTCTATGATCGCGGCGGACACGCTAATTAAACCATTAATTGTTCGAAGGCGGACCGTTTTGCCGCCGGTTTTGAACTTTGCAACTAGACCACCGGCTGTCCGGCTGCGCGGTCTGCGTCGAAGAGTCTAGACTACAGAACTTCTCCTTCTCCAGCTCGCCGTTCGACACCCTACTTTGGCTGTGGTCGGGTCGTCTGTGTTGATCCTAGCGCTTGACTTTTGCTCGACGGAACGATACGCGACTTGCGCGTCGTCACGTTTTCGTTTTCGCTGTAAACCTCGTGGCTAAGCCGTCGCCGTCGTCGTACACAACTCCTGTCCGGTGTCGTTGTGATTAACCCCCTTTTGGGCGTCATAGAAGCCGCGTGCAGATGGACGCGTAGCCGTTTGGCCGCCGTTGTGCTGTTACGGCTTGCTCGTTTCCGTAAAAGCCGCGGTGACATTTACTGTTGCGAGTAGGTACGTCGAGCTTGCAGTTTGCGATTGTGTGCATCCCGTTGTGATTTCATGCATCCCAACGGAGCTGACGTGGATCACGGCTGTCGACCCGTGGCTGGATTGATGATTCGTCTCACCTCAAGACCGCTGTCGCCGTTCCAGCGGTGGAATGTAATTTACCTATCACGGAGACCGAGCGGTCGTGAGCAGAGTGGTCGAGGCCGTCGTCAGGTTTATCTTTTGTTTTGTTTGATTACCTACCCAATTATATTTTCCTATTAGTATTCGATAGCTGCCGTGTCTTACACAGAGCTGTCATTAGTGTTTTTTTCTGTACTATTGTTAAATGTATTTTTCGTCATTACGACATTTGAGCGAGTTGCCGTGTACCCACGGCTATAGATACTATGGTTGCCCATCGGAAATTTATTAGGCCGGGGCTATACTCTACGTTTTCCGTCGAATTCAAAACGCATCGGTTAATATCGGATTAGCTTAACACGACGGGTGTAATGCTCCGTATTTGCATCCGCGGCGGAAAACGCCGGCTGGCTTGCGTTTTGGGCGGACGAACCCCGAAGTAGTGAAAACGTAATAACTCTCAATTTTACATTGTTTTAAATTAAGAAGGGCTGTATCGGCTATATTTCGGAATTTCAGGTCCATCTGATGGCAATTGCTGTGGTAATACTGCAATTTTTGATTGGTATTGCTCCTTACTTGAAGCGAAACGTCTTTAGGTGTATCTTGATGAAAATACAAAACAAATGTACATACATTTTAGGGTTTATAATTATTGTATTTTTAAATTCATAGGCGGAGCTTGATACATTTAGCTGGGGGGAGGGGGGGGGGCTCAAGCAACAAGCCCCAGATTTATTTCTGAAAAAATTCATGAATAACTACAAATGTAGTTTGAAATAATCTTGGTATATCTTAATACTAACATGAACAGATGTCAAACAGACTAAAATATATTGATGTATTGTATACTTTATTACTATCACAATATTAAAACAAATTAAAAAATTAGATCATAAATTGATTCAAAAGAAATAACTTCAACTGTTGTCTTAAATAATATTAGGTAGAAATTGTATTTTTAATGTCTGTGGACTGTAGTAAAAACTGAAATTGACTTGTTACTATAATTGTTTTCTAAAAAAACTGTAATTTAAGTGTCTTTAACTTATGTACTTAAATAATAAGTCACCTTTGAACAATAATTTATGTTAGTGTTAAACTGTTAACCGAATTCTACTTGAACCATATTTGACAAATTGTGCAACTAGAAAACAATTCTATTGTAACTGTTGATCAAATCTTGAATAGTCCAATTTTTGATTTGGGAATTTAAATAATTATTGACAATCATCATTTCAGCTTTTAAGACATCCTTTTTTATTTTTAAGTTATGACTATAATAATATTTAAAGAATTCTAATGAACCTTCGAAATCAAGTATAAAAAAGTTATCCATTGATTTCTCCAATTTTTGGCTTTTGTCGAAAAATGTAGTTTTTATTCTATTAGCTATTATATTATCAATAATTGTAATCTATACATCAGCTTTCCAATATTTTTCAACTGTTTAATTTTTCCTAACAAGTTCCAATTGTTGAAGTCACTATAAAATTGTTTAAACATTGATTCACAACTTGTTTCCCTTTTTTTGAGTACTCTTCATTATTCAAATAAATACCAAACTGTTTTGAAAAATTAGTGAATAGTGATATTATCCCACAATAGTTTTAAACTCATCAAACCTTTTGTCTTGTAATGTTGACATTACACCATTAATTGCAGTAGTTTTCATTTTCTTTTTTGTAAAATTAAAAGTTAATCAATCATCTGTGCAATGGTTAAGTCCCATGTGATTTAGTATTAGGTGTATTTAAGTTTACATTTTCTTGGTATCTTTTTTCTTTTTTATTCCGTCTTACTGGTCGTCTTACTTGTAGAAAAAAGAATTTGCTATTAATTGAATAGTTTGATTTTTTTAATACCTTTTGGTATGTGTTTTAGTGCCCAATTTACTGTGAGTACTATAAAATAAAAACAAAAATGTGTGTGACATTTATGGCATTTAATTGTAACATTTTCTGTAAATTCACAGATTCCCCAAAGTGTTTGTCGACTCCTGACAAAAACTGTATACAACAGTTGAGATTATATTGTTCGAATAATTCTTTATGAACTATTTACCCGGGTGAGAAAAAGAATACATAATATTTTGGAAACCGTTAAAATGTTTAGTTATAATGTTAAAAAAAAATAATAATAATTTACATGTCTTAACAGAAAAAAAATATTTAAAAAATATTTACAAATTATAATTTTTCTTCACGTCATCGACATTTTCGGAAATGAACTGAAAAAAAAAAACAAATCATAAATGTTAGTAATTGAATGAAACTAGTTGACACAGATCTAAGTGGATTCAAACAATTTGATAATTTATTATTTGTATTGGTTGTGTACCTATTAGGGAACTGATGCACAATACGTTTTCAACGTTCTTCTATTGCAGGGCAGTGTGCAGCATTCATCGACGACCATAGACAATCCCAAACGTCTCCGGGCGCCGATAGAGAGTTCGGGCTGGCCAGCTGTAAACAGTTAATGTGCATGTCAATATATCAGTGTTGGAGATGTCAAAAGTCAAAACAAATGTATGCTGTACTAAGGTATGAGGGCAGGTAATAATGATGCTAGAAAATAGTGCCCAGAGTGCACTCATATTAATACGATATCATATGACATACGAGTCACCTGTGCTCGTGACAAGGGTAATAGATTTCACCACGGTTATGGAATTGTAAGAACTGGTAGGTATTAAGAATTGGATAGCTAAAAACTCACCTGGTACTTCGTTGTATTTTCCTCTGCAAATTACACGCAGTTCATCTGCCAGCCTTGAGCCACAATATTTGTCAATGTTATCCCAGTATAGGTTGGGTTGACGTATAACCACGGCCCTCGATAATCCGACCAGACAGAATACCAGCAACACCATACTGAGCTTCACCATTATTGAAGTTCTGATAACAATCATCATAAAATATATATTACACAAGATTAGTTAGAAATAGATAATATTTTCATTATGACCTTTGATTTATAGGTATTACGTGTACAGTTATTTTTTCGCATCAAACATTCGAGGATCGAAATTAGAAATAAGTAATAACGTTGGTTTAATATCGTTTAATCGTAACAAGTTTAAGCACAGATTAATGGTTTGTAGAGTCTGCATAAGTTTAATAAATATTTCACGGGGTGTATACGAACATTGGTACATATAAATGGAATGGTTTCTTCAATTTTTAATTCAAATTATCCATAATATGTATATTAATGATGAATCGATCGTTGTAAGGCAGATTATGAACTCGACAAACTAGTAAGAGACGGATTTAACGTTGAATGGCCATCAGCAATATTTCAAAACAATAAAAAATGTATGTACATTGTTACCTACCAATCTCTTTGAATGTAGTAAAGTAGGTCTTGTGACGACTCAATTAAACATAATATGTAGGTATTTAATACAACATTTATTCGACAAAATACATCTTTTGTTCAAGCTAAAATTACAATTTGCACTCATACAATCTCGTTGGGTACCTATCAAACAGTTTTTACTGTACAGATATTGTGTTATAGTGTACAGTGTCATTTGCATGATGTTATTAAATTATGTACCAGTGAAGAGCAGTTGTAACCAATATTTACCCCATATATTCTTCTTTTGTAAATTAGAATTTTTACCATGTCTTATGTCTAACAAATACCTCTGTAACTGAATAATTCATTAACAAATCTCGATTGCACACATTTATTCATGTAGAAATGCTATCGAATCGAGTCAGGAAACATTGAACCGAACATCATAAATCATATAATCGATATTTAAACAAAACAAATTATTGAAAACATCTAATGGTATGTAAACTTTGAAGATTAATGTTGCTGAATGACTTCTTATTGTCAGACATTTAGTTATGGGGATATTTTCATGGTCAGTGTAAAATTATATTGAGTTTCTCAGACGATGAGTGAGTTATTACAAAACATTGATTAGTAGAATAAGTTGGATTTTCTTTTTAGTTAATTGAATATTGTGTGTCCGTTACACGGTACAATTTAAATACCATACACAATTTTAAAATATCAGATGACCAGCAATTGAGATGTTGATATAATTATGGCGACGGATAGTCACTATAATACCGATTAGGATCGTTTGAAATTATAATTAAAATGCAAATTATGATTAAACTCTTAAAATGGCCATTTGTGATCTTTAAAAAAATGACTCCATTTAATTAAATTGTTGTTGGAATAGTGTACAACTAGTGTTGTATTAAATAATTATATTGTGAATTTCATTAGGTGCCACAAATTATGACAGTGATGTACAATTCAATATTGAAAAAAAGATATAATTATAATGCTAAGAACAAAATAATTTTTTTTATGAATTTCTATACTTAGTGGCTTAGACGCTGCTTTCAATTTGAATATAGTGTAGGGCTGTAGCGTCCATGAGTTTGGTCGACCAATGAAAAAATGATATATAAACAAACAGTTACTAATTATTACATACTATCTATCTTAGATATTGCATTAATTCATGGTACTCACAGATACGACATTGTGCCAGGATTTATCGTGGTGTAGATTCTACAAAAAGTAATTTTGCACGTTTGAGATTTTGATACTATGAATTTATTTTTTCCTCATGCGGAGTTTAGTATTTATTTTTAAATCGTATTTGCACATTTACTGTTGACGAGCATTTTCGTTATTTTCATTCGAACCCATGGGTTGATTTATGACCGTATCAGTATTGTATAATAACTATATAACGTTCCTCGACGATAAAATATCACAGTCTAATGCGGAATAAAATATAGAGGAAACTGTACTTACCGAATAGAGCGGGATGAATGACGATTTCCAATTAATTCAATTTGGGTAGAGTCTTTAAAAAAATATTGAACTAAACGAACGAGACTGGGAGACTTGTACACGGCAACAGGTTCACTCGAATGTAATATGGCGGTCACGGGCGGCCTACTATCAGCGCGTACGCTTGATATTATATTTTATGGAGGGTTTTATGAGCGTCGTTGTCCAGTGTCGTCCATGATGCAATATAAAACTGTATACTTAACGCAAGTATCGATTATTAATTTCTTAATTTCATTCTGAGGTTCGTTTGACGAAAATTTCGTAATTAGACATGAGTATCTATAACCTTGTACCATTTATTATTATACAGAATTATTATTTTAACGAACACATATACGGTGAGAATATCACAGCCACCCTCGCATGGACGGCCTGATGGCGGGGTTGTGGTGGTCTTGTGAAGTAGTGACTTTGCCCGCAATTTTTGAAAGCATAGCGTACAAGAATAGGAATATAATATTTTAGACTAAAGTTAATTCTGATAATTTACTGTCCTACAAGACACATGTAGTAAAGAGTAGTTGTTGTGAATACTCAATTATATATATATATGTGTGTGCAGGTATTCAATACAACATTTATTCGATAAAATACATTTCTTGTTCAAGCTTAGAATTACAGTTTTCACTCATACAATCGCGTTGCGTACCCATCAGACAGTTTAAACTGTACCCATATTAAGTTGGAGTACAGTGTCATTTGTATAATGTTATTAAATTACCAGCGAACAGTAGCTGTAACCAATATTTACCCCATCTATTCTTGTTTTGTAAATTGTTGGGCATTAATGTATTTATGAAAAACAATTTGTCCTTGTTAAGCAATGCCGTAAAAAAAATATGTTTATTGTACACACAATTGTAAAAGTACTTTTTAAATTTGATTGATTAAGTGCAACAATGATTACCAAGTGTTAATAATTTGGCTTTGTGATTTTTAAAATAATATGTAACATGTGAAATATAATATTTGTACTAGAGTACGCATTATTTATATAATATATTAACAAAATAATATAATAACAAGTCCTGCAGTATTATTCTTGATCGAATACTTTTTATGTATTATGCAATATTTGTATTAATTCGTCTTGCAAATTAACCAATATAACGTACCTACTAGTGTATTATTATTATTATTATCATGGGATATGATTTGAGTTCAAGCTTATGAAAACATTGTGTGTACACTATTATGAAGGTTTCATTTTTCAATGATGAGTTTTTTTCTATAAAATGTATTTCAATTGATATCTACAAATAATTAAATGTATTGTTTCAACGGATGTCCTTTGTCTTCTTTTGACATGGGCCTTCAATACCACACTGCTATAAATACACATATATTTGTGATCTGTTGCTTATATATAACCTCTGCAGTTTCTCTAAATTTGATTTCTGGTCATATTATTTTACCTTAATCACACAGGTTTTTCCCTTACACTTGGTCTCCTTAAAAGTGTTTTGCCCATACAAAAATGCTGTACATAGTATTTCTATTATCGTCCAATGTAATTATACTATTATAGTGTTCATACATCATCGATATCTAAAATTAAATAATATCTCATGAATATATATTTTAGATATATAAAAAACATTACATAACTATATCTCATAAATATTATTATTTTAATAACTTTGTTTTAGATATTTCTATGATTTTATTCTATTTACATGGCTTATTTGAGAATACTGCTAAATAGTTTATATAAACAACAATCTTACCACATTTTACCACCAATAATGGGTATTCCTTACAAAAGTCCATAATCACACTTAAACATGGGTATTGGGTTAGATTTTGAATAGGTTTTTGTGCAAGTACATTTGTTTCATTAGTAACCAGTGAGTCTATAAAAATTTGATGAAAAAATAGAGCTGACATTTAATATGAAATCGATTTTAGAACCGTTGTAATTCATATATATAATTTGTGCGACTCATATTTACTTTATTAGTCTATCTATTAGAAAAAATACCTTTTTTGTTCGCTTACATCTGTATTAGGCATAAGTGAACGTGGAATAAATTAAACTGAACTTACAATTCGACATATTAATCTTGAGTATAGAAATGTTAGTGGTATGATGGGGGGGAGGGGGGGATGAATCTTGATTTTCATATGTATTGTAAATTTCAACCCGTAAACGAATGATGACGAATAAACGGTTAGGTATAAACATTTTTAATATAAGTAGTAATCGTTAATTAATAATTAAAAGTTAATCAATCATCTGTGCAATGGTTAAGTCCCATGTGATTTAGTATTAGGTGTATTTAAGTTGACATTTTCTTGGTATCTTTTTTCTTTTTTATTCCGTCTTACTGGTCGTCTTACTTGTAGAAAAAAGAATTTGCTATTAATTGAATAGTTTGATTTTTTTAATACCTTTTGGTATGTGTTTTAGTGCCCAATTTACTGTGAGTACTATAAAATAAAAACAAAAATGTGTGTGACATTTATGGCATTTAATTGTAACATTTTCTGTAAATTCACAGATTCCCCAAAGTGTTTGTCGACTCCTGACAAAAACTGTATACAACAGTTGAGATTATATTGTTCGAATAATTCTTTATGAACTATTTACCCGGGTGAGAAAAAGAATACATAATATTTTGGAAACCGTTAAAATGTTTAGTTATAATGTTAAAAAAAAATAATAATAATTTACATGTCTTAACAGAAAAAAAATATTTAAAAAATATTTACAAATTATAATTTTTCTTCACGTCATCGACATTTTCGGAAATGAACTGAAAAAAAAAA